ATCCTCTTCTTCTTGAACGCCGCATCGGTAGCACGATTCTTTCCATTCGATTCGAGCTATCGGTTCGCGTATTAATATCGGATCGATGCGCGAAGCAAATTCAATTCGCTCGTAATATGAATGTTAATGCGTTCGCGCATTTACATATTACATATTGCGCGTGTTACGATATTACGTCCCACGCTTTGTCGCATTTCCGATCTAATCAGCTCCGACCAATTTCGAACTTCTCGAAACGCCGCATAGAAAATTCGATTTCATCCTCGTGGACGGGAAAAAGAAACTCGCTGGACTCGCGAGGAATGCGAAAGAGTTTTGCTAGAAAGTATGCGACTGGTGATTGAAAACGCGTACGTCGAATCGCATTGCTCGAAGGAGTTTCTTAAGACTGCACGTCACCTCGCACAGTTCCCCGTGGCACTGGCAAAAATGTATTAATAAACAGCGTAATTTCGCTCTAACGATCGCGTTGTATCCTTGAAAGCGAGGGGGAAAGCTAGCTCCGCTGAATACCCCGGCACACTGTGAATTAGGTTATACGTTTCGCAATTATTACGTGCAATCGGCTTAATCGAACATGCCGGTACGTCGTGCGAGAATGGGATCGAAAGCGTTCTCCAAGTCGAACAAAACCGAGATTGACAAACGCTCGAAAACAGGCAAAGACCTCTGCCGAGAAAAATAAGTCGAGTTTGGTGCTTCTACGTGGAACTCGTGCGCTTTTCGCATCGAGGAAGATGAACGCGTGATTCGCGAAAATTGTTTTCTCGGAAAATCGAGTCCGACGGAAACTTCCGTTGTTTTCGTTGAATTTTTTCCGCCTGATTCACGCGATAAGCGTCTGCAGCGCTTCAGGAAGGATGCGGGCCGACGGATAGCTGTTTTTTGAAACAACGTCTTAGACGGTCGTTGTTGATCTAGACCAATCGTAAGCCCCCGTTTCTAATTCGGATCGATCATCCCGTGACTTTGCTCGATGATGTTATTTCTACTTCTTCGTTTAAACGAGATCTTGAACGCGTACGCTCCGACTGTGGAAGAAAATCAAAGTCGTCTCGAAGCAGCTTGCTCGAATCGGTTACATCCGTCTCCCGGTAAATTGGAAAGTCTAGCTCGCATAGAGGTCGATCCTCTTTCTTCCCTTACGCAAACCCCGCTCGTCTATCGTCTTCTCTGCTCTTTCTCTTCGGAATATCGTAAATTTTCATGCCGAGAGACTACCCAGTTGGCAATTATCGATTTCACGGTGTCGCCGGCTATAAATCATGACAAAGTTCCTCCTTCGAAGCGATACGGTAACGGTGACGGGGATTTTTACGCTAGCAGCCCGGCGCAAGGGGTGATCGGAGATCGATTTAAACCGTGGCTAGGACACCTCGCGAGGGTAAGAAATAAAAGTGGAGCCACGTATGCTCGGGTTGTTATGGTAGGTAGCTTGGCGGAGGATGAAGGCAGTCGGGACTGGACCGAGGGAAGCCGTATTGCGAAACCGGTAAGATTTTACGACCGGTTTTCGCGGCTCGTAACAGCACACCCACGTGAACCCACGGCGATAAATACGATTGTTTATTTGGCCGGGGTGCATCGATTTATCTGCGCGGCGCGGCGCGGCGGAAAGTCGATCGGAGGAAAAGAAACGAGGCGAAACGAGTCGAAAAGCGCCGATATACGAGGGCATCGGAATAAATTCCGCTTTTAACACTCGCCCTTAACCGTCCGTGCCGATCGCGTCCCTGCCCGGCTTTCCGTATTTCACACCCCGTTTCTCTCGAGTGGGGACGACGGACGGTCGAATAAATACAAGATGTACCTACCGATTCGGCCCTTGATTACGTTTTCCATAATTCAATCTATCTCCGTCTCTTTCTCTCTCTCTCTCTCTCTCTCTCGCTGTCTCTCGCCGCCGTGAGTTCCGCACCGACGATGAGGTAACGAATTAGGGACCCTGAATTCTTTCTTCGCCTCCATTTATTTCCACTTCCCCGTATTTATTTATACGCCCGCGTTCCGCCGTCGGAAAAGAGAAGAAGACTCGCGATCGCTTTTTATTCGCGATGGAACAATTTTCTCGGAATTACTCTCGCGATCGAACTAACGAGCTCGTCGACGGCCATGGCTGCTCACGGAATTTCGCGGAAAGAGAATAAAATATTCGGGTGTCGTAGGTAGCGCTGGACCCGGTGCGTTTGCATAAATCACAGTCATCCGATTCGGTCGTAACTCGTTACACGGTGCAAAAGTGCCGGAAGGTTACACGCGAGTCGGCAACTCGGTCCTCTTCTACCCTCTTGTTTCGCTTCCCCTTTCTTCCGCGTTGAAATAAATCTAATTTTTCGGCACGGCCGGCGAATAATCGATTGCACTACTGAACGAACGAGTTCGAACTAATTGCGACCGTAAGAAAAACGCGTTTACACGAGGAGCTGGACAAATTGGACATCGTCGGAGTTTTACTACGCGATAACACGGACGTCTCGGCCGTGAAATATCGTTCGTAAATATTGTCCTTGCGAGAGAATAAATTCCCGACGTCGCACGCTACCGAAAATTCGTCCGATCCCAGCTCCGGATAGCACTGGACTCGGTTGATCGCGATATTATTCGCGGAGCAATTATTTTCGCGTTAAAAAGTGAAGCAGCTAAATAACAGTTCCGCGTATACGTCGACGAAGCAAACGTACGAGGAGTTTATAGTAGCAAAAAGCTACTCGGATGAGCTGCTGTCATCGAAGTTTACGTTTTCCCCCGTCAGCGAATCACGTTAATTGGGCTGCTGTAAAACTACCGCGATTAAACTGTAATTTGCGCTCCTCCGCGAGGACGACATTCGGATAAATATTTAATTGGCGAGTACTCCTGATCTCGTAAAAAGTACGTCATTTCCGATGTGGAAAAAAATTCATCGTACTCGTAACCACAAGCCAAACCCATTTCCAAGAGCCGCAGCCTGAGAATCCGAGTCACCGAGCACGTCGCTACGTTCGAATTCGAACAATCGAGATAATCGCGAGTACAAACGCGTGTAGTTACCGGCAGATATTTATCCACGGGCCCCGTGTGGACGTTCGTTTCGCGATGGCGCGGAAATCGTTTCCATCAGCCTTGGGAATATTGACCGAGTTCCTTGCACTTTCTACTCGAAAACCAGCCGATATTCCTGACTCGTTCCAAGCGTCTGCGTACGCGCGTATATACCTACATGTCATGCCAGATGATTACGAAACTCTTGATAACGACGGGATTAGCCAAGGCGCGGTACGAGAAATACCCGCGGTGAGCTGCCGCGACGGTTGCTAATATCCGCGCGAGTGTGCAGGTATGATTCATCAGCGACGTTTCGATGTCTCAATTTCCGAAACGAGAGGCGGGAATTCCTCTCTCTCTCTCTCCCCACGGTTTCCCTCCGATTTCCCTGCAGTACTCCGGCAAATATTAGCCGGGGACTGGCGATACGTGGTTACGCATCCGACATCGCCGACGTCGACGCTCGAGCGCGCCGTTACGCCGTTTAATAAATTACATCGCCGACACGGCGTTCTTCTGCTGTTTGGAATCGATCCCACGTACCTCGCGCAAGTTGCCACGGTACCGCCGGCAGCCGCGAAAAAATCCGCCGGATAACGAGCTTCCCGTGTGAAATCCGTGGCTGCTGCCACCCCCCACCGACACTCCTTCTGGGAAAGCTCATAAAGTCGGACGTTAATGGCGTTAATCGTTCCACCTATTGCCTTGACGTGACCTTACGTCTGTCGAACGCTTCCTGCTCGCTCGTTCGGGGCACGCGAACGCGCCAATGAATTCCCACGATGCTTTCACTCTGACCTAATACGTCATTATCCGCGCACGGTGATCACCGTGTGATAAACGATCCTTCGTCCCATAGACGACGCGGCGAACGAACCGATCTCGTCGGCAAGCGAAAGGCTCGACGGTGCTCGCACCGCGTCTCCGCGTCTCCGGTGTCGCGTCCAAGCGTGATTTTCATCCTGGCCGAGACGAGCTTTTCCCTCGCGGCTTCCGTTACTCCTCTCCGCCGCCCGACTGACAAGGCGAGTCGTCTTCGTTCGAGGAGCCGAAGGGATCGCGAGACAACGACGGAAGTTCATCGATTTATTCCACTTTCTACGCGGTCGTCGCTCCACGCGGATCCTTTCTCGTAGCCTGGGAGTGGTCCGGATGAAACCTGTCGGTTTAGAAACAACGGACGCGTCCTCTTCCTTAGCCTCCACTCGGCGGGCAGAGACGTTTATGGGAATATCGATGACGAGCGAGTTTCTAATTCACGAAAGGGGAACGAAGGAAGGCTCGAAGTATCTAACAGCAGCGAGTGCCGTTAGCCATGAATTCGCTGGCACGACGTACACGTATAGCGCTCGCAGGTTTCCTTCGAGTGCCCAAAAAGTGCTACCTACTTTCGTGACGGCACGCGGAGCGGCCGCTGCAATCGTCTTGGAAGGCATCGATGATAACGAGTTTATAAATCAAAGTGGATTTTTGCCGGCGAAACGACGAGCGAAGAGTCCCGAGCCTCGATTCGTCCGACGATTGGCAAACAAGAGGATCCTCGAGTTTGATCGTACGGTCATAGATCATCCGCTCATAGATCATTGTCGGGCGCAATATATCGACATCTCCGAAGGGCGATTATCGACGAGCGAACGTGTAAATCACGCGCAGAGACCTTCAGCCGCGTAATTTATTACCCACTACCTGGCCACGATGACAAGTCTTGCCCTATAATAATTTATTGCGCGATCTAATCGCTCACCGGAGTGGCATTTTTACCTCCCCGGTTAATGTGAAAGTCGCGGAGAGCCGCGACCGTGTCAGAGGTCCCGCGTAAACGTGAATCACCGTGGAATCCGTACATGCATTCCAACCGTTTCCCGCCTGCAAACACCGCGCGTTTATCCTTTTTCCGTCCTTAGGTTATTCGTTGGATGGACGGTATTTTTCCTACACGCAGCAGCGATAAAATCGATCGCTTAATTTGATTTCAGCAATAACAAAGGAGCCTCCTGGCAACGTGGGCAGAATTCCCAAAGGTCGAGCCCCAGTCCCAGTCGACTTCGCCACACACAGGAAGCAGCCACGCCTCACACAGCTCCTGTTTCCGTGAGTATCCGAATCCCTCCGGAAATTGAATCGTTTTTTTATTATAATACTTTCGATCGCACCTTTCTACCGACTCTTGCTCCCTACGCCAATCAACGCGCCACTCGTTATCGGCCATCGACTCATTTCCACCCTTCGACGATATTTCAAAAATATCAGAGAAGAAGAAGATAATAAAAAGCGGAGGAGAGAGCAAAGGGGAGAGAGAGAGAGAGAGAGAGTGAAAGAGGGAGAAATAAGAGAAACGACGAGGTGACGGAAGAATGCTTTCAGATGTTTTAAACATTCGAAGATCAGCGCTGCCGCGTTTCCCTCGTTTTAAAAAGTTTCGTGGTCGATTCACCGGCAGGCTCTCGCAACTTTCTTTCCCAGGAGAACTTCCGAGCGGCTCTCTTGAACTTTTTAGCCGTCTTATAGCGTCCCTGAGCGCGATCGATAAAACGTTTCCAAGCGCTCCTCTATTCCCCTGAAATTATCACTGATTTTCCGAATCGTTTCCATCGGTGGTAGCTCTCTTGTTCCGTGGAAAATATTATACCTTGGAAATCCTCGCTTAGCCCGAAATTCTCGATTGTCCTAATATTTCGCGAGCGGAACGAGGCAGACGTCGCTGAATCCGTCTTCGACGCGTTGACCGCGAAAAAATCTCGACGTCGCGACGCGTCGTTCACGAAATGCTCAGCCAGCCGGCACTTCGTTCGAGTCCTCCGCGTTGTCTCTGTGCAGGAATAACCGAGTCGATGGAATACCAGCGACGGAACGTATAACGATCCCAATTAATATCACGAGCTACGTGATAAATTGCCACTAGGAACTGTTCCGTTTGCGGTGTTCGTACGACCGCCGCGGATAAATCCGCAAACTTACAACAATGCGACAGTTAGTCCGGGTAAAACGTTCCGGGGTTTAATTAAGCTGACCCGAATCACCACGGCTAGAGACCTCTGTTGCTAAGTTTATCCGAGAAACTCGGAAGAAAGACAGTTCTGCTGTAGCTTTTATAACGTTTCATACACCGTCGCGGCTGAAAGCGTTTGCTCGCGGCTTCTAGAAGGATCAGCCTCTTAACGGGGTGTACTTTTATACTAATTCTTTGCGAGAAGTTCCCACGACGCGAAACGAAAATAGCCTGTAACGTCCGTGGAGCACGCGATGACACGCGAAACAACGCCACGGTCTCGCTGAAGAGATAATCCCAGTGATATTAACCTGAATCGTCGAAAGCGTACCCCGTCCCACCCTTCGCCGCCATTCGAACGTCGATTTCCGGCCTGGCAGCGGGAAAAAATCTCGATAGAAAGCTTTTCGACACGCTCCGATCGCCAGGCCCGAGCTGCAACGATAAAGTCGTCGTGGCTGCTTCGATTTCTCGATACTGCTCCATCGTTTCGTATTACCTGGATCTTCGAGACGGGTGGAAACGGACGACGCTTTTGCGTGACAGACGTTACCAGCTCGTTTCTCGGCTTCTCTTGCAGGAGAAGTCACGTCACGGCCACGACAACGCGTCCAAGATTTACATCTCCGCGAGGGAATTCCACGATCTCGCGGCACGAATCCGGAATGCACCGTTTCGCGTCGATGCCGAGCTCGAAAAGCGGGTCTGCCGGATTCCCCGGATCTCGATCTCTCGAATGGCGCGCGTCCGCGCAGACCGGAAACGTCCGGCGTGATTCTGACTCTGGCAATCGAAGAAGCTCGACGTTCTGACGCCGCGTCGAGCTTTCTTCCATATTCCAGGCAGCCCTGTACACCGACGCAATGGACCAAGGACGTAACGCGACGTCGCGTTACGGGACGTGCGGGATTTTAAAAGCGGCTCGCCAGCTTTCCGGGACAATACGTCACGTGCCACCGTGATCGATACCTTTTCGGGATGTTACCCGGGACACTGGAGGTGCCGCGTCGAGTCCTCGTCGACGGAAAGGTCAAATTGCTCGGAGGGAAAGAAAAGAAGGAGGAAAGTCGATAGCTCGCGACGCCTTTGATAGCTCGCGAAAGCGATGGCAATAGGCTGGGTATTTTTTGAAGGGATGATTTATGGTGCCAAGGTTATTTTTGTCCCGCTTGTTGCCGGATGACGCGCAAACGCCTTGCGGCGCGATACCTACGAGAAGGTAGGATCGGACGGATCGATAATGGTCCCCTGGCCCACGAAATTAAGATAATCGCTGAGATAATCTCGCGGATTCTGCGATTCGGCTCACAATGGCGATGTCCACGGTTGCGTCTAATTGTCAGCCAAATGGTTGTCCCTCGGTGACAGTGATCTGTGCATAAACGTGGGAGATACAGTCAATTCGACCCGCCATTGTTACCGGTAACGTTAACGAACAGGTATGCCCAGTCGTCGTCGGTGTGAATGATGCATGTCGTTGCCAGCCACGATACGCTGCACGCGCATAGGCGAACGCAATAACGCAATAACGCAATCGATATGTATTATCTGTCAGGCTTCCGATCTTTCCGCGCGAAACCGCGTTATCGTTGATGCAATTCCATTTTAGTTCCTTCCTTCTCCTTTCTTCTCCTTTGGTTAATCATTAATCCACGCGTGTCTCCGTGATACGCGTGCGCGCAAACGTGCACGCTCGTGTGCACGTAATAAAAGCAGAGATAATTAGACGAGCACGCGTCCAAGTGACTTTATCGCTGGCTCAGACATCCAATATACTGAAAGCTTCAACCCTGTTATACGGAACGATTGCAGGAACTGGGACGAGTCGTAGGTCTTTTCTAAGCACTGGATAGGAAAAGTTGGTCGTGGGAAACGCTGCGCGGTTTAATAAGATCTACCCTTCTTCGACTATATTTTCTCCGCGAGCCGTGATTGCAGTCTCTCTTTAATAGCCTCGTGCAATTTTCTTCCCATAGATCGGTGTTTCTCGTCGTTCGCCGTATAAATATACGGTGGCAAAGATATCGAAGAACGGGCAGGACGGTTCGAATTAAGCGAATCGTGGAAAGCGAGTGACGGGATATCCGTGGGAAGATGAAAGTAATTAAGAGAAGTTAGCCGAATGTCAAGAACACACGGGCTATCGGGAGCATCGGAACATCGGATGGTAATCAAACGGTACCACTCGTATGCAAACATCGCGTAGTACCCGAGTCTGCGTGCATTTAAGCTCGCGGCTGAGACGTCACAGGCGCCGTCCATTATTCATCCGACCGTTCTATCATCCGCCGCTTCCGAGGAGGAAATTACGAATCGCGTGTCTAGCGGATCGAACGTCTTCGCTTCTATCCTTGAAAATAATTTCGACGCGCTACCCCCTCCAGTATTATTCCACCACTGCTTCTTGATTGATGTTTAATTAACGGGCCTCCAGAACCATCGACGTCGAGAAGCTCCCACCGATTTTCTCTATCGATCCAGACTCGACCGATATATTACTCGACTTATATCCCGAGATTTGGTAGCCTGTTTCGAATTCCACGACTGCGAAACGTTTTAATTCTCCGTAGAAATCACGGTCGTTAAATCGGGTCGGTTCATAAATTCCCGTATATTTTTAGTCACCGCGAAACAACGACGAAACGCGAGGTTAACCTTTAATTCGATCCACGACACATTCGTCGTTATTTCGTACGAGAGATATTTAGGACAATGAATGCAAATTTGGCACAATTGGCGCGTCGAATCGGTGAGTGGAAAAGACACGAGTACGAACTTACGGACCGATCTGGTATCGCAGAATTCCAAACGAACTGAAAACGAACGCGTTCGAATCCGATTCCACGGACAAACACGGGGGCATCGATCGGTTCGTACATCCGTTAAATCGCAATTTCTTCCGGTAGAGTACCTTAACTGAATGCCTAATCGAGCAGAGATCAGAATTCGTTCGAATCATTCCGAGGTACCAAAATCGTCTACGAATGAATAATTCGGCGGTGACCTCGCTAACCTCCAATTATCGGTGCCGCGGGCACGTTAGGATCGAAGTGTATGTAGGTTAAAGTCTGCGCCAGGAACATGCAAATGCTCTCTCACAGTACTGTTAATTAAGGTTTCACGGGGCTCAAAAATTTTGTCGAGCTTGAATTTAGCCTCCTAGACGATTTTCCAGCGTCGATCGTGATCCCCTCGATTGTTCGTTTAATAAAGAGGGATAAGGAGAGGGAGAATCTTTGTTTGACGTTAAACACGTTGAACGTGAAACAAATATGTGGCATAATGATTCGGTTTGAGAGGCGGACCAAATTAACGGATAATTTGAATCGTATTTAACTACGACTCGTGAAACATTTGACAAATACGTGATAATATCCGGTGACGTGATTCATCGATTTTAACCGACGTTCGTTGCGGCAAAAATATCTTCAACGCCGCGAGACTTCAAACGTTCGAGCTTTAATGTCGAACAATCTGTTCGTGTTCCTATAAACATCCGATTTTTCTTTGGTTCATAATACGGCGATTGCTTTTTCCTCGACGAAGCGAAACGAGGGACGCAAAATATTTCAAATATTGGTCGATGATTCTGAGTCGTGCATCGCGGCGTCCAGCAACAGAAGCAAACACCGACAACGCATATTTCCCGGCTGGTAGAATCGTTTTGTATCCGAATTGGCCAGGCCGGACGTTTATAAATTTGAATTTGAATGGTTGCTCGCGAACACGGTATCGAGACAAAGGATAATATTTTCACGAGAAGAGGATTTTGTTCGACGTTAACGCGCCAAACGAATCGCACTCGATTCCATCGTACCTACCGATCGAACTTTTTCGTCCGTTTCGACACGAAAGCCACGCTCAAGAAACATCGAGCACCGGCACAAAGCAGTTCCGATGCTATCGAACTTCTCGCATCGACCTTAATTAAAAGTTTTAATTAAAGGTTAGCACGAATGCTCGCACGGTCTATGCATATTCAACGTTGTAAAACATTTTTCGCGGTTCTCACCCTCGCGCTCCTTTATTCCTTTGAGCTAACTGTTTAGCGTATCGTTGGAAGGTCCAACCTTGACGCTGCGCGAAACCTGAGTCGGAAAATGCGCGATTTTTCAATCGTCCCGTTGCAGATCGACTTCCATCGCGATCGGATACCCTTTTCCCGGTTTCTCCCCCGTAATTAGGACTTCAGAGGGAAGTTAAGAAACGCGAGCACGTTTTATATCACGGGCGACAGCTTTTCCGAATATTAGACTCGGGACGAACTACTCTTCAGCGACGACCCGAATAGCTCGATCTTGGTTCATCTAGCAATCCAATTAACCGACTTTTCTCCTCCGTGCAATTTTCAGAACTGGCACTCCCCCTCTTGTTTCGTCTCCCTCCCCGTCTTTGCACGAAAAGTATTAGAATTAGAAAAAAGCTCGTCAACCTAGATAACGCGACCGATATAAAGAATCCGTTTAACGAGCGAAATGTCAGAGTCGCGATTCCTCCGCGGGGAACCGCGAAACGGAAGTGGCGCGAGCGAATCCGTCCGACATCGATATCTCTGGCGGAAGCGAAAAATGACGGGCGCGACAGGTGCATGAAAGAGGTGACAGGTAAAAAAGCAATAAACGGAAGTGGAATCGAGCGAAGCAGCAACCATTGGTAATTAAGAGGACGAGACAATGGCATCGAGATATTTCGGCGGAGCGAATTCTTTCGTTGTGCAGCCAGTGGCGCGCGCGGACAATGCTCGTTCTCGTCGAGTCGAGTGACTTCTCGACCTCTCTTTGCTATAGAAACGCCGCCATGGACAGAAACGTGGCCGGGCTCGTTTAGAAAACCGAAAGGTGGATACACACCGTCGATCGATGTTCCCTCACCCCCGAAGTGTTCGACCGAACACTGGTAATTCCGTGAAGTGGAACGATCGAGCAGCCGTATTTCATCGTAGACTCTATTATGTTCAACGCGAGAATCACACGCCGAGCAGCGTAAACGGATTTTTACGAAGCTGGCTTTGGGTTAGGAAGAGGTACGAGAAATATTTGACGTTTGCCCGCGATAAAAAGGTATCGGTAAATTTACCGAAAAGCGTTTGTCAAATTTGCCAGTGGCGAGAATGCTCCCTTTGCGAACATCCAATTCCATCTATATTCCGTCAATTCGTCCGTCAGATAGTAAATACGTTTTTTAGCGGAAAAATTCGAGCGTGTTTACCGCGCGGAACGAGGGAAGAGAAGAAGCGTATTGTTCGAAGGGTGAATTCGTGAATTTCACCGTATAACATTGCACAATGGTAATCCGATAGGGGGAGAAAAATCCTCTGACACGCTTATTAAAATTTATGCGAGATTAATTAGGCGTTGCGCAACGATATACGCGTACAAAGTTCCGTATGGAAATATTTGCACTAGGATTTATGTATTATTTAGCAAGAAAGATCTCGCGATAAAAATCGCATTTCCTGCAGTTAATTTTCTAACCCAAAGTTAATCTGCAGAATTCATAACGTGTCATTAAACGTTTTAGAAACTTTCTTCTTGCGCAATCGTAAATCAAACGTTGGCGTTTCGAAACTGCGATATATCTAATTGGACTTTCTTTTTAGTAGATCACGAGGCAATAATTAAGTAACCTGTTCATAACAGTAAACAGCCGCGCGTTTCATTAAAACGATAAAATAGGAGATAAAAGGACGTTACTGCAGGTTGGTCTTAATCAGCAAAACATCGTATCCGCCGCGAAGATGACCGCACGTGTAATGGAGTTTTATGGCACCGTGCCATTTACACCCCCTCCCGTTCCCGAGCTTCCACCGCGGATTCGCTTTCGAATCATCGAGACACGCAAATTTTCGGTTCTCGGGCTTGACAACTGGTACACGCTCCATCGATCTAACCGGTTCGTTTGCCAGGATTAAACCTCGGCCAAGTACCAATCTATTCTTCGCGTCCAACGGTCTACGTACACGTCGATGATTCCAACTACCGTATTAATGTCTGTGTTAACGACGGATACCACTCTGGCGCTTAACGATACGAGGTCCGAGGCGATCGAAGGATAACAGTGATCATTATGATTAAAGAACTCGTAAAACTGCTGACCACCGTGAATCGAGAACCGGCGACGCGTACAGGCTACTTTCTACGCGATTCCGAAGCGCAAATCACCGATCAAATCGAACGTACGCCGATAGTAACGTCATTATCTCATCCGACCATTAATACCGCGCGATACGATCCATTATGAATCGCGTTCTATTATTCATTCTTACGGAGAGGAGCTAACAATCCCGGTTTGAAACGTGAATGGAGGCATAGTGACCCAGAGTCGGCATAACATTGAGCACGGCGTTCGTTTGGCTTACGAAATAATTCACTAACGAGATATATACGCGTTGCACGTCGAATATTCTTCCATCGTCAGGGTTCGATAAGCTTGTCTAGATAGGAGCGATCGGGAGCGTTCGTGCGTGTCGAATCATGGGAAAAGATCGACGGCCGGGCAACTTTCCCGCGCGCGGGGTTATCAGCGGGGTTACATTGCATCTGAGCGATTCGATCCGTGGATGAAGGGGAGGGTCTAGCGCAATTATGCGTCGGCAACGTGTTAAATGATTTCGTTTACGTTTCCGTTGCAGCCGCTGCACGATCAACGCTCGAGCGCGTACTCTGGAAAGGATAGGAGACGAATTCCTGGGCTGAGCAAGGCGCAGAGGCGTATCAAAGCGTCGAGCACGCCGGCGCTCTTGGACCGTGATGTGGAAAGGTGAGTGGTTATTTTTGAATCGAGCCTTTACAGTCTCAGCGGAGGAAATTTTATCGACGCGTTCGGCTCGAGGATCGCAACCCTCTGCGGGCGTCGCTGCGATCTATGCGTTTACTTTTTAAGATTCTTCCTCATCGTCGCTTTCGAAACGCTTGCAATCTCGGTTCGACGTTGCGCATACGCGTTCGTACTCTTCGCGCGAATCTTGCTATCAACGCAAGCCATACGTACAAATATGGTTCCTGTAGCAAATATCGTTCGAGGCGTATAAATAAATGCATAGGTCGGAAGAAAGTGGCGCTTAAAAATATTTTCGAGAATAGTGCCGCTTTTCCTTATGTACTCCACCACCTTGCGCCGCACACGCAGCTGGCGTGCGGCAGATAAGGTACGAAACCTGTCCGTTCCGTGTCTCGTAGACTCTACGCGGAGATTTGTCTAGTTCAGGAAGCTGTGTTTGCCGTGGACGAAAAATATTGTTTCGGCAAATATTGGGGCAGCGCGTAGGTGGCCTTCCGGGCGCGGGGCAAATGCAAATATAATAAACGAGGAATTTATATACTTTTAATAGGAACTCGTTTGAGATGCGAGTCGGCGCAGCTTCCTCTTACGTAACGTAATATAATCTTCGTAACATAATGCGATATAACGAACGAGCGCAGTGTAAATTACTATTATAAATCTTGAAAGCAAACAAGGTGGTTACTTGACTAGAAATTAAGCGAACAATGCTGGTTGACCTTATAAAAAGTAGGTAAAAGAATGGAGAGTCGCCCCTGAAAAGTAGGTGATCGTAAATTATGAAGAGTCTCTCAGTGGAATGCGGTAAAAAAAAATATTACGAAATTCATTGCCCGTTGTTATCGGGGACCATCGTATCCGATATTACCACGAAGAGTGGGACGAGCCGTGACCGAGTCAAAAATGAGCGAGCAGCGATTTCTACTTTGCTAGATTATCGACAACGTCGAGAGGTAAAAATAGTTCTGAAAAACAGTTGATCGAAGAGCGGAGCATAGATCAAAGGTACCGGGTTGATCGCGTCCAGGTTCGTTTGAAGTGCCTACTCCTGCTTTCCAGCTTTCCACCGTGACCTCTTGATCCCTTCGGCGTGTCTCGCAGCCGGGGTTGTTTGCCGAGGCAAGAATAAAGACGTTACTCCGAATGACCCGGCTCGGTTCCATCGACTTTGTACCTGGACGAACATTCATCCGGTCGTTGCTCTAATTACCAGCTGAATAGAAAATCTCTCGCGACATCCTCTTTAGTTTCACGGAAGCGTACATTTCCTTCCGGTCCGTTTCGCGCCAAAACAACCCCCGTTAATATTTTACGGTTAACTCTTTGCTGCAAATTGCTCGAGCAGTCGATGTCGTTGCGCCGTGTCCAACTGCTCGATTTTCCACGCTAACGATCATCGATTTCGGGCGGAATGCTTTTATTTGGAACGTCAATCGGAATTTTCCTCTTTTTTTTCTCCCCGAGATGCTTCACGTCTCGTACGAACTACGAGGATTTTCGGAACAGGGTTGTTTCTCTCTTTGCGCGTGTTGAAATTTGTAAGGAAAATTCTTCGCGAAATTTTCTCGTCACCAATTCGATTAAAAAGCCCGCGATGGTACAACCGGGTCTTGGTTTTATCGAGGCGATAACAGTTTAACGGGACGTTAATTTTCTTCGCTTCGAAAGTTCTCGAAACTCGAACAATGAGACGTAGCTCGGCATTATTCTAATTCGAAGTTTTGGGAACGGTAAGTTCTCCTTTCTTGGCTTGGCCAAGTCACTTCGCTTCCACTCGCGCTCCGTTTAACGCCGCAAACTTAGTCTCAGTAGCGCGCGTGAATGTTTCGTATTCAAAATTCGAAATTCCGGGGCAATGAAACGAATCTAAGAGGAAAAAAAGAACGAAGTTTAATTAAATGTCGCTGAAACGCGACAAGTTTCATTGGTTCCAACTTTGCTTTCCTTCGGATTCTTCGAGCTGGGTAAACTAAAAATGGAACCGATCGAAATATTAACTTGAGCGCGAAATTCGAAAATGCGCGTAAATTCGAAACTTTGGAAATTCAAATTCGAATTTAGATTTAGAGAGACTCGGAGTTCCATATTTTGAAAAATCTGCGATTAGAAAGCATTTATTTAGCAATGTCGAAGACACGATAATATTCAGAGAGGATTTTAAAAAACTTTTAAAGGAGAGTATCACATTGTAATATTCGTTGACTCTGTAGCGGTCGTGGCTCGTCTTGCGGTCCATTAATAAAAGAAATTTTTCCCTCATCTCGCACGAACGTTGAAAACTTTCCACTTTCCGTCACTAATGCGAAAGAGTGACAAAGTTTTTCTTTACCGGCGTTTCTCCGCAAATTTGCGGCCCGCGTTAAAAATTTCTCCGCGAGGAATAATTTGGAAAACACGAGTCGCGAGACGATGATATTCCTCGCGATAAAACGCCTCGAAGATCCGTCTCGCCCGGGGATCTATGTACGTATACGAGCGATCCGTTCCAGTCTACATACGGTTAAATCGTCTTCCGAAAGATCAAAGGGATCTCGAGGAGAAACTTATAAATGATCGATGATCGAACAAATTAACGATCGATTTCTCGTCAAAACAGCGCCGTGCTCGTTCGAACGCCTACGCGTGGTACTCGCAAAAGTCGGGTATGTGCCACCCACGCGTGCCGGGTACTAGATCCGAACGCAGATCGGTAAAAAGGAAAGTTATCGTCTGTTCGTGCCACGTGCCGCGGTACTCGCAACTAACGAGTCGTGGAAAATACGCGAGAGTTTGGCGGACCGGTACATCGTTGGAAAAAGAAAATAATAGCACCCCTCGGCGATATTTTGTTCCAAATTTTCGCCCGATCTATCCACCCGGAATTCCGTCCTACATACGTATGATGTATACATCGTTCGGATCGCACCGATGATTTTTACCGACAGAGAATAATTAAAAAGCGGCGGAGTAAACTGTCGGAAATGGAAGACGCGCTGCTCCTCGGGATATTCGCGATGAAAGAACTGTCGCCCCGCGGAACTTTCTAAACTCGCGGAGAATAAAAGCGTACCGGCATCGACACGGTTTCTCCGAAGCTCGGAAAACACGGAAAGATCGCGGTGCCGATTTCGCGGAGGCGTGCGCGCCAAAAGCGGAAAGGAAAGGGAAAG